AAGTGCATTAAAGCTCAAACAGTGCACACTAAGTGCATTTAAGCTCAAACAGTGCACATCAAGTGCATTAAAGCTCAAACAGTGCACACTAAATGCAATAAAGCTCAAACAGTTCACACTAAGTGCATTAAAGCTCAAAGAGTGCACACTAAGTGCATTAAAGCTCAAACAGTTCACACTAAGTGCATTAAAGCTCAAAAAGTGCACATTAACAAATTTAATCACTTCAATGTGCCTGAGATTGTGTGACTCCCCAAATAAAGCCTACAAGTATCTAACTTATTTCAGCCATCTGGATGATGCCGAAGAATTTCGAGTACGGTCTTTGGCCGGCCAGCGGAGAAATTGATATCGTCGAGTCCCGAGGTAGGATATGTTAAGGGGAGCGTCTGGGTCCAAAATTGACAATTTTGGCTCCTCCGGTTTTTAGTCTCTTATTAAAGCTGACATTCTGACCTATCAAACGGTACCAAAACCATCTCTGTATGTTGATTTATGCGTTCACGGCAGATCACGAAAAGAAGGGCAAGGGGTGGTGGAGTTCTTTAACATTAAAATACTAACCACGTAATATGATTATCAGCAGAAGCTAAATGTTTATCAATTAAAAACATTAATCTGACATTTTATATTACATTCGTCCAAAAATTGTTAACCGTGTTTAAAACACTTAATGGTCGACTTAATGTTCGTTACTTAGCGTTATGTGATCGATGTGTGCACTGTCACTTTTAAATAATTGACTGTTACTTTTGAATAATTGACTGTCACTTCTGAATAATTGACTGTTACTTTTGAATAATTGACTGTCACTTCTGAATAATTGACTGTCACTTTTGAATAATATATTGCCACAGGTAACGACAACTACGGTACTCTTGGCAACGGTTTTGCTGGTACCACACTGCACTGGGGCCCAGCCTTGAACCTCAACAAGTATAACCTCACCCACGCAGAATAGTAAGTTCTTAACTTCAATTTAGAATAAAAGTGATCACGTTTTCTTTTTCTTCTTGTTTGGTCGATCAGCTATATTTTTCGGTAACATTTTTTTGCATTTTAATGAGCGCATATTCGTATAATAATTATGCATGTAAACATTGTACATCTATACTGTATGAATGAAATGTTATGAACGGATAAATTCTATTGCTGAGAGTTTCATTGAGGGTAAAAGTGACATTAATTTCTTGGGGATCAGCTCCCCCGCCAACGGGACCTTCGCCGACAACTTCCACACGTGGCGCTTGGACTGGACGCCCGACGACATAACGTAAGCCTGCGGTCACTTATTATAGCGGTTTATATAGCGGTTAAGTGTTTATTAGGCCGTAGGCCTGTCGCCGATTCTTAATATTACAGAACATCCACAGCTTGTTGCGGGCTTGAACTCGCAACTCGCTGCTTCAAATTTTCTTAGTTTAACCGCCCGGCCTCCTCGCCGATTCTGACCAGAAACTGGCGCACAGAGCTGGGATCGAACCCGCGCCTCTCTGCGCCAATCTTGGTACTCTGAACTTTAACCACTGGGCCACCCTTGGCTGCCTTGAAAATCGCGACTAAATGCAAGTGTTGGACCAGGCATTGGTCATGATGGGATGCATCATGGTTGAAGATAGATGATGATGTCATAAGGTTAACCCGCGAGAATTTCCGTCTTTCAGTTCAGCTTTGTTGTTACGTCACTGAGATCCAGTTATTCACCACCTCACCCCCCCTTCTTCTTTTTCTTCATTCATTTTACACTTTTTTCCTTTATAATCGGTGATTGGTCAATGCCCGTGACGTCACTGAGAGGCGCGGGGTAAAACCGGGGGGCTTTGCGCCCCCCAAATCAGGGGTTTTCCGTCATTGGCAACGAGAAACGTAAACAAACCCGTCATTCCCATGACGGATTGGTCGACTGTTTTGATCGCATTTCGGTGATTGGTCAATGCCCGTGACGTCACTGAGATCAGTGACGTCACAGGCGAACAACAAACTACATCCGCAAAAATGAGCTTCTCATTGGTCAACCTAACACTAGTTCAACCATGGTGGGCATGTATGAACAACCACCGTATATCATGCACAACTAATAATATGAAGATATAGTGTAGTAAAGAATCCTAACCCTCTCATTTTAGTGTCCCTGGGCCAGGTTAAAGCCAAACTAAACTGTTTTCAATCAAGCAACAGTTTCCTTGATGGCATAGCTACTCTGGTATTATTGTACACCTCTCAACTCTTAACAATGATTTTTTGATATTGTTTCGAACATTCTGTACTCATCCGAAATGTGTAGATGTGGCAACTAATAATATTCTAGATATGTATTCAATTTTACTTATTGCGTTTGCAGCAGATTGTTATGTAATCAAAATGAATAAGATTTTGTGAAAAACGTAGAGTAATTTATTACGTTGGCTCCTACGTGAAAGTTGAAAAGAATTTCTCTTGTTCCAAAATTTTTCGAGAATTGGCCATCATTAGAACCAATACATAATTTAAATCAACAGTATTACCGAAGCCTCTGATGAAGCATAAAAATTAAATAGATTACGTAATGAGTATCTTACTTTCGCATAGGCATAAATCATGCTTAAATTAACATATACCATAAACAATACTGGGTCGCCAGGTTCTACCTAGACGACGCGGAAATTTTAAAGGTGGACCCCGGCACCAACTTCTGGGACTTCGGCGGCCTGGCATCCAGTGGCTACGAGAACCCCTGGCGCTACGGCACCAAAATGGCTCCCTTCGATAAGGAAGTAAGAGAATAGTGAGCAAAAGAGATATTAGTCTTTTCACAGTAATTTTATTATAAAAAATTCCATCGTAATTAGTTGTATCTGTCTCATTTGACTTGAACAGATTATTAGCATTGTTTTACAAACTAGGGTTTAAAAATCAATTTTATTTATGATTTATTCCAGACTGCTTTCATAAATGAATTTGTTCGCTACGTTCATAGCATCCATCGTTCGAATGTTCGTTTTTCTTGGTGGCAATCATGTTTTGCACCATCATGTACGGCATGTTTTACACCATCATGTACGAGGGGGGACCCAAAAAACCGGGCTATGTCCAGTTTTTTACACCGGAGTGTCCAGGCGAAGTTTTTTATAGTGTCGCATCCTCCCAACATGTGAATATGCTAAGGACTTCCCTCATTCGGTATGCCTCATGGATGCACTAGAATGCCGTGTTCCATTCTCGAAAATTTTTATTAATGACACTTGTGTCGCGGGCTCGTCGTCTTTTGATGATGGCTGATATCCGCGACCAATGTGCTGCCATAAAATTTTACTTTCTTCTGTAAGAGACTGGCACGGAAATGCTACAGATAGCTTACATTCATGATGAAATAGGAAGAACGGAAGTTTTTTAGTGGTTTTCGAACAAGCCCAACCATAAAACCTAACCCTAACCATGCGTTTTAAATTCAATCCCACAAAATTAAAGTCGAAAAATCGAGGCCGTCCTGAAATAGAACCAAAAATAGCGCTTGAAATAGTTAACTGGAGCAAGTGAATATATAATAGCAAAATAACACGCTCGAATAATCTGTATAACACAAACCGATTGGTACTTGCACAGTTACATCAATGACCTCTTCTTTATCAGAAGAGGTCATTGAGCAGATAAACAAGTGAAGCTGGAAGCTGTTTTCGCTTGCAGTTTTTACAGCTAGTGTCCAGATGTATGTGATACTCAACGTTATCGATGCAGCGCCAAAGCTATAGGACTTTTATTAATTACGGAATACGTCAACTCAATTTATTAAGAACAATGTAAACTAGATTCATTAGAGTCTGATGTTTTTAGCGCATTGTGTCATTGATGGAAAAAGGTGATATTGTGCTCGTCATGTCCGTCTGTCTGTCTGTCCGTCTGTCCGTGACTTCACGTTATCGTCGACGAGAAAAAACGCTCTCTGTCACTCACTGCAGTGAGTGCTGAGTTATATTTTTGTTCAAATACAAGGAAGAAAAACATGAAGTGTGTGCGTAAGCGAGGTGCGGCAGTGAGCCATGAAAAAAAATTACCCCAAAGCGGAAAAACCTGTACGGGTAATCCCCCTCACCCCCTGACTATGAACCTGTGTTGCAAGCACAGTGCATACAAGCCGGCAGACGCGCTCGGTCATCACTGGCAGCAGGAACCGGTGCTTAGGTTGCGGATAGACTCCTGCGTTTGGTATTTTTTTTAATCCGAGACGAGACGAGACGAGACAACAGGCTCTGTCCCGGTTCGCAATAAAAACCGGGACAATTTTCAGCCTTCCGTTGGAATTCCGGGACGATACCGAGACGAGACGAGACGTCCCGGTTATAATNAGGCTTTTATATTCATTTAGAATAGAAGTGTTGTTGTTGCGGATGAGAGCTTCTGAATGTTCCCAACACAAGCTTGTGAGTAGTGTAATGTTTACTGATGCAGGCTTTTATATTCATTTAGAATAGAATAGAAGTGCTGTTGTTGCGGATGAGGGCTTCTGAATGTTCCCAACACAAGCTTGTGAGTAGTGTAATGTTTACTGATGCAGGCTTTGATATTCATTTAGAATAGAATAGAATAGAAGTGTCGGCACTGAAGAAATAGGCCCATGGCCTGTTGCCGATTCTTGAAATTTTCGTGGCTTGATTCACAAGGGATCCGGCCTTTGGGACCCGACCTTTCCATAGCTAACGATTGATAGAGATAGCTGCTGGACTTATTGCCTACAATTTAAGACGCATTTATAATCTTAAAGTAATAATTCCACTTGCCGCTCATTCTTAACTTACGTCTTTAGTGCGTCTTGAGTTTTGAGTCAAAAATGAAGAGTTTAGAACATATGAACGCTGCTTTCTTTACAGCGCTATACTCCCGTGACGCGATGGTCTCCTCACGTAGTTTACATTTCATGTTTTGTGCATATATAAATCAATTATTTGCAGCTACAAAGTCGGAACTTTAAATACAACATATATACCATATAAATATGAGCATGTCTCAATGTAAGATGGCGGACATGATGTCACAGTAGAGATTTGGGACCAAGAGTGAATACGTCCATGAAAACAGGTTTCATGGCGGGATTTGCATGAAATTTCGCTTTAGTATTGCGAGATTATTCTGTTCACGCTCTCTTTTACTCCAATGATATTGTGTTCTCTGGTACCCGATATTTCTACGTCCTGTGCAAATACATATTATTTACTGTCATATGTCATAAATTTCAGCGTAATCTAATGTAAGATTCTGACGTAAGCTAATTTCTAATCATTTTACGTGTATGTTGCATGATAGGAATAATATTAATGTATAAAACATAACTAAGTCAAATCTTGAAGAGGTGAAATTTGATGTGCTTGCGTTGTTCGCCGTTCAATGACACGTTTAAAATAGTCTTCCTTTTATGCGGGTGGGCAGGGTGGCCGCTAACCATTAAGGGCAGGGTGGCCGCTAACCATTAAGGGCAGGGTGGTCACTAACCATTAAGGGTAGGGTGGCCACTGACCATTAAGGGCAGGGTGGCCACTAACCATAAAGGTCAGGGTGGCCACTAACCATTAAGGGCAGGGTGGCCACTAACCATTAAGGGCAAGGTGGCCACTAACCATTAAGGGCAGGGTGGCCACTAACCATTAAGGGCAGGGTGGCCACTAACCATTAAGGGCAGGGTGGCCACTAACCATTAAGGGCAGGGTGGCCACTAACCATTAAGTGCAGGGTGGCCACTAACCATTGAGGGCAGAGTGGCCACTAACCATTAAGGGCAGGGTGGCCACTAACCATTAAGGGCAGGGTGGCCACTAACCATTAAGGGCAGNGATGTGGTGGTGATAAATTTTGTCATGGTTTACTATACTTCCATTAAAAGTATGTTGAAAAACACCAAGTGAATCGAAACAGCGAATCTAAAAATATAGCAAAAGTTCTATCAAAAGCCATGTTGCCGTGCGAAATGCACACACAAACGTCAGCTTGCTGAACAAATTGTAAAATTTATTCCTTTAAGATGAAAAATTAATAATATAACAATATATTCTGCGATATTAAAATCTTTTATTACTTATTATCTTAATTTTTATCTAACAATTACTTTTTATCTTAAGGGACGAAATTTCACAATTTGGTCAGCAAGCTGAGTTTTTTGGTGCAGCGATTACAGCACTCAAGCAGAGCGCAAGTTTCGTAGCTACACTAACAAAATTTGGGGACCGCCCAGGCGTCGGCCGAATAGTCGATACACTCGGCGCAGAGTTATCCTGGGTCTGCTTGGCCTCCCGTTCGAAATCAGTTTCTGGTCAGAATCTCCTTTCCGACTTTATAATCGCTTTTGATTATGACGAGGGCATAAATTAATAATTAATTATTTCTTAGTTATCATGTACAAATTATTGGACGCTCCATAACCATTGTATTTTTATTGTTATCTTAATTTCAGCTACTTATTATATCTCCTTTACTTTGGAATTGAGACTGAAGAAAATCTTTCTATTTATAGTTTCACACCTAAAAGAAGAACTGAAATTGAACTAACTTTGTTATCATTCTCCTCTTTCGACATTCATTGAAGATTTGAATCAAGACTTGAACACAAATGCCGAGCCACATCTGTCCGAAAAATTTTCTTTGCAAATTAAAAAATTTCCGTCGTTAACAATAATAAACGAAAGAATATATTTTATTTCGAACTTGCAGTGCTAATATTACATATGAAATAGGATTTAACTCGAAGCTATCAATATAAAATCGATTGTAACGAATCGTTTTAATTTCTTACGCGTTCAGCACTTCAATGAGGGATCATTACACAGTAGTCAATCGAGGCGCCAGCTGTTGCCTGAATCTAATCAGTTCCCTGAATCTAATCAGTTCCCTGAATCTAATCAGTTCCCTGAATCTAATCAGTTCCCTGAATCTAATCAGTTCCCTGAATTCCTTGAATCTAACCACTTCCCTGAAATCCTTGAATGTAACCACTTCAGAGTGCGGATCCAAATCCAAAATTTGGATCCAAAATCCTGACAAATCCAAAATCCAAAATTATGTGCGACACAAGTACGTAGACAGGGCAGCTAGGTGCATGTGTCTCATGTCGCAGTCCAATTCCACGAGGAAATAGTTGCGATTAATCGGGTAATATAACGTAAAGATGTTTAAATAGAATACAAATGCTGACATCTTTAACTGCATATAACTCTGAAGTTGAAACAACATTTGAATGAACAGGTTGATACAGGAAATGAATAGAAATGATCAACATATCATTTTTGATGACAATTGAGATAAATAAATTAGAATCTCATAGACATAATTTAATTCATCATAGACGTAATCGTGATTTAAGCCTTCAAATTTCTTTGAATCAAAATCGTAAATTTTGTTGGAGAGAATTTGAAAATTAGCACATATAACTTGAATAAGTCATCTTAGATTCTACAGGAAGTAATTCTGCGTGATCAGAGATTTGAGAATTCAGAAACTTATCTAAATCGTTGCACTCAATTTCCTGCAAAATGACTCTCCGCCCTTCATTTAAACATCTGAATGACTAAGCAGAAGGGAATGACTAAGCATATTGGAATGACTAAGCAGAAGGGAATGACTAGGCAGAAGGGAAGTCTTTTGTTATACGCTCATATTGTGGTTTTCTCGCAGCTCAACAATGCTAGTGTGTAGATTGCAGCTCCCCTGTTAACTACAGTGTCACTTCGTAACACATGTGCTAAGCTCATGTGTTCAGATAGAATAATATGATATGTGTTCAGTTTATAAAGCTTTATCAATGGATATTTCTCCCAAAACATCAAATTTTGTGAATTTTGAGTGTTTTGTTAGATAAATGTTGGAAATTAGTAGGGTGGTGAGAAGCGTCTGTCATATTATTTCTGCAAGACAACACATTTTTAAGATGATTTCTAATTAATTAATTTGCCCGACAGCCGCCAGCATGAAGCTGCTTTTGGTTCTCGCCGTCACCGTGACAGTCACTCACGCTGCAGGTACTATTAAGCTTATTAAGCTATCAATTATTATTAAACTATTAATAAGAACACGAAATAATTGAAAAACTCTGGACAACGTATAAGAAAGTATAAAATCAAATGATTAATATTTGTTCTGCGCCTGACAACTCATTCGAAAGTATAAGGATAAATTATAAATTTTACTTGCCTCCATACAATATATTTGAAAGTTTAAGGTTAAATTATCAATTTTGCTAGTCGCCATACAATATATTCGTAAGTATAAGGTTAATTTACAAATTTTGCTTGCCGCCAGACATCGTGGACCCCTGCTCGTGCACCGCCTTCCCCTGCCAGATCTTCAACGACGAGTTCGACTTCTTGGACTTCAGCGCCTGGGAGCACGAGATAACATTGGGTATTTTTAACTGTAAAGTGTTGTTTTATCATTTTTAAACGAAAAATATGCAATTGTGGTGAAGGGACCAAGGGTGGGCGCCTTGCCCCAAGCCCATGGTCCCATTGCCCCAGGGGTGGGGCAATGGGCCCATTTTGACATTTTTTACAAAATAGTGTTTCATTAAAAATTGAATAACTCTATAGGCGTCTAATTCACATCATACATTCCTCATTAGTTGCACCTTTAAACCACCTCGTATCAATTAAAACTTCATCAAAAATTTAGTTTAAAAAAAGTGGGGGGCGCGCTGCCCCACGTTGCCCTACTTTTTTCGATTTCGATATAGTTTGGATTATATTTTGCAAAAAGGGGGGCGAGGAGGGAAAATCGAAAAAATGACAAAAAATCCCCTCCACCACCCACAAAAATAAAAATTTGAAAAACGAGAAAGGTAATTTTTTAGATATGGTCTTTACAAATCGAATGATACGTGTCTCGATGTTGTAGCACGTTATTTGTAGGAGGAGATACATTTTTAAAGTAACCCCTTTTTCCGTTTTCTATGAATTCCACGTTTTCTTTAATTTTTTTCGAAAAATGGACGCGAACAATAAGTTCTTAGATTTCTGTTTTACATATGTGTACCAAGTTTCTGAGTGATCCGTCTGTAAATACAGAAGTTTTCCGCGACCGAGACGCTCCCCTTAAGCAAAAGAAAATTTGAAGCAGTGAGTTGCGCGTTCAAGCCCGCAACAAGCTGTGAATGTTCTGCGATGTTAAGAAACGGCGACAGGCCTACGGCCTAATAAACGCTGAAATTGCTATGTTATTATATGATTCGTTTATATATTATAATTATACAGTTATTACTCCGCTTTAAGCTTCATCTCGGCGTCGCGGGCGATTCATGACATGGATGGCAGGAGCTTCGCTCTTCTGTAAACTCCAAAGCCATTCACTTCGCAAACCATCACAATTTTGTCTCAATTTTTTAAATAATGAATTAGTTTCGGCACATTTTTTCCGTGTTTTTCTTCGAAGCATTGTTTACTAATGTTCATCGAGATCGTTTAGATATGTTTTTCAATCATTTACTGTCTATAAGAATAGAATAGAAGTGTCGGCACTGAAGAAATAGGCCCATGGCCTGTTGCCGATTCTTGTTCATAGAATATAATAGAAGTGTCGGCACTGAAGAAATAGGCCCATGGCCTGTTGCCGATTCTTGAACTTTTCGTGACTTGATTCACAAGGGATCCGGCCTTTGGAACCCGATCTTTCCATAGCCTACGATTGATTGAGATAGCTGCTGGAC